GTCTAGTCTATAGTCTAGTCTATAGTCTAGTCTATAGTCTAGTCTATAGTCTAGTCTATTGTCTAATCTATAGTCTAGTCTATAGTCTAGTCTATAGTCTAGTCTATAGTCCAGTCTATAGTCTAGTCTATAGTCCTAGTCTATAGTCTAGTCTATAGTCTAGTCTATAGTCTAGTCCATAGTCTGGTCTATAGTCTAGTCTATAGTCTAGTCTATAGTCTAGTCTATAGTCTAGTCTATAGTCTAGTCTATTAGTCTAGTCTAGTCTATAGTCTTGTCTATAGTGTAGTCTATAGTCTAGTCTATAGTCTAGTCTATAGTCTAGTCTATAGTCTAGTCTATAGTCTAGTCTATAGTCAAGTCTATAGTCTAGTCTATAGTCTAGTCTATAGTCTAGTCTATAGTCTAGTCTATAGTCTAGTCTATATTCTAGTCTATATTCTAGTCTATAGTCTAGTCTATAGTCTAGTCTATAGTCTAGTCTATTCTATAGTATATTCTATAGTCTATTCTATAGTCTAGTCTATAATTCAGTTTTTATTCTAATCCATAGTTTAGTCTACAGTCTAGTTTATACTATACTATAAACTGTAGTCTAGTCTATAGTTTAGTCTATAGTCTAGTCTATAGTCTGGTCTCTTGACTAGTATGTACTTTATTATTATGCTAGTAAGTGCTCTAGAAAACTGTACAATAAAGACTCTTTTTATAGTAAAATTTACAATGCCAAATTTTTTATAGAAAACGGTTTGAGTGAAGATAATTGTCTGATAAGTACCTTACTCACAAGAGGATATCTATTGAAGACATTTTTTATAAAAAAAAAACTTATCAATAAATAAACTTATTAATGAGAAACATTTTCATAAAAAACTGACACTTTTTTATGTAAATATAACATATTTAGCTCAAGATTAGTTCGCTCTGGTTGTTTAAAATCCCCTTTAATATATTTTTGTGTGAATTTTTTCCTGCTGCTATTGTTTTTGTTCTTGTTGGTTTTCAACACACAAATATTGATAAATCTTGTAGAAAGGGAAAAAAAACTAGTTCATTTTGCATACGTTCTATAAACATTTGGTACAAGTACATTATTTGTTTTGTCAGTTTTATTGTAATTATTTTTATTCGATATATATTTTTACCAATACATGGAGTTTTTTTGGCCAAAATGTATGTACGTTTACAAAAAAAAATATCTGGTTTAAAATTTTACCACATTTTTTTCTGGGAAACATATTGTTGTTGGTTTAAAAGGTCTGATTATGCATTAACATGTTCAATATGTAAGGATGTATGTGTAAATAGTATGAAAATGCATACAAACAAAGTAATACAAAACATATGTGTTTATGTATGTATGTATGCGTATTTTGAGTATAAGTTAGTAGTGGATTTAAGCTGTTTTACATTTCTGTTAAGTTTATGCCAATGTGGTCATTGTCAACAGCAAAAAACAGGAAATAATGTTTTAGTTCGAGGGGCTATTCGTACAAAAAGTGGGGAGGGGGGAGTTTACTGATACAGGCTCATAGTAATTTTTGCTTATTTATATATTGAGATAATTTAAATAAACAAAAAGAGATAGTAGAAAATGTAGTTGAAAAAAAAATTGCAAAAATATTTAAAAGTAAATCGTTTGTGGAATTACAATATGGAGTAAAAATTTTATAAATAAAATAACAGTTATAAAAGTAAAAAAAAAATAAACTTTAAATAAAGCTGGTTACTCTTGAATTACTGCTAGGATTTCATACAAATATAATGCAAAATATGAAAAAAGTTGCCTAATAATTGATACTTATGGGAAAAAGGGACACAAGGGGTACATATTTTTAAAAATCGTAGCCAAAGACAAGAATGTAGGCTACACTATAGACTAGATTATTAAACCTACTATAGACTAGATTACAGACTATCGTCTAGACTATAGATTAGACTATAGACTAAATTATAGACAATACTAGAGACCATACTATAGACTAGAACAGGAACCATACTATAGACGATAGACTGAACTATAGATTACGTTGTAGACTAGAGTATGGAAGAGATTATAGTATAGACTATAAACTAGACTACATAGTAGACTATAAACTCAACTATACTAGGCTATAGACTAGACTATATACTAGGCGAAAAACTGAACTGTATAATGGCTGTAGACTAGACTAGACTATAAACTAGGCCATCGACTAGACTATAGACCTTACTATAGACTAGACTATAGACTAGGAACCATACTATAGACCATAGACTGAACGTTAAAGACTATAGTATAGACAAATTATAGTCTAAAATATATACTAGACTATAGACTAGACTATAAGACTAGACTACAGACTAGACTATAGACTAAAACCATAGACTAGACTATAGACTAGACTACAGACTAGACTATAGACTAGACTATAGACTAGACTATAGACTAGACTATAGACTAGACTATAGACTAGACTATAGAATAGACTACAGACTAGACTATAGACTAGACTATAGACTAGACTAGACTATAGACTATAAACTAGACTATAGACTAGACTATAGACTAGACTATACTAGACATAGACAGATATAGACTAGACTATAGACTAGACTATAGACTAGACTATAGACTAGACTATGACTAGACTATAGACTAGACTATAGACTAGACTATAGACTAGACTATAGACTAGACTAATAGACTAGACTATAGACTAGACTATAGACTAGACTATAGACTAGACTATAGACTAGACTATAGACTAGACTATAGACTAGACGTAGACCTAGACTATAGACTAGACTATAGACTAGACTATAGACTAGACTATAGACTAGACTATAGACTAGACTATAGACTAGACTATAGACTAGACTATAGACTAGACTATAGACTAGACTATAGACTAGACTATAGACTAGACTATAGACTAGACTATAGACTAGACTATAGACTAGACTATAGACTAGACTATAGCTAGACTATAGACTAGACTATAGACTAGACTATAGACTAGACATAGACTAGACTATAGACTAGACTATAGACTAGACTATAGACTAGACTATAGACTAGATATAGACTAGACTAAGACTAGACGATAGACTAGAACTATAGAATCGACTATAGACTAGACTATAGACTAGACTGTGGCTAGAGACTACTATAGACTAGAGATAGACTATAGACTAGACTATAGACTAGCATAGACTAGACTATAGACTAGACATAGACTAGACTATAGACTAGACATAGACTAGACTATAGACTAGACTATAGACTAGACTATAGACTAGACTATAGACTAGACTATAGACTAGACTAAGACTAGACTATAGACTAGACTAGACTATAGACTAGAGTATAGACTAGACTATAGACTAGACTATAGACTGGACTATAGACTAGACTATAGACTAGACTATAGACTAGATATAAACTAGACTATAGACTAGACTATAGACTAGACTATAGACTAGACTATAGACTAGACTATAGACTAGACTATAGACTAGGCTATAGACTAGACTATAGACTAGACTTAGACTAGACTATAGACTAGACTATAGACTAGACTATAGACTAGACTATAGACTAGACTAGACTATAGACTAGAGTATAGACTAGACTATAGACTAGACTAGACTAGACTGTAGGCTAGAGACTATACTATAGACTAGAGACTAGACTATAGACTAGACTATAGACTAGACTATAGACTAGACTAGACTATAGATAGTATAGACTAGACTATAGACTAGACTATAGACTAGACTATAGACTAGACTATAGACTAGACTATAGACTAGACTATAGACTAGACTATAGACTAGACTATAGACTAGACTAGACTATAGACTAGAGTATAGACTAGACTATAGACTAGACTATAGACTGGACTATAGACTAGACTATAGACTAGACTATAGACTAGACTATAAACTAGACTATAGGACTAGACTATAGACTAGACTATAGACTAGACTATAGACTAGACTATAGACTAGACTATAGACTAGGCTATAGACTAGACTATAGACTAGACTATAGACTAGACTATAGACTAGACTATAGACTAGACTATAGACTAGACTATAGACTAGACTATAGACTAGACTATAGACTAGACTACAATCTATAGACTTGACTATAGCTTATAGAATATACTATAAACTAGACCTTAGACCAGACTATATAGTAAGTAGACTTTAGACTAGACTATAACTAAACTAGTAACTAAACTATGGACTAAGCTATAGACTAGATATAAGCTAGACTATAGACTATACAATAGACTAGACTTTAGAAAAGACCATAGACTAAACTATAGACTGGACTATATACTAGATTAGTCTATAGACTGGACTATAAACTATACTATTCTATAAACTACTCTATAGACAAAACTATAAACCAGACAATAGACTAGACTATAGACCAGACTATAACCTATAGACTAGGCTAGACTATAGTCGAGACTATAGACTAGACTATATACTAGACTATAGACTAGGGAACTAATTGGTACTTTTTAAACTCTCTATTATAAGGAAATTGAAAAAGTACTTTTTTGGGAAAGATATGTGTTGTAGAGTGAATGGAGGAAAATTCACAAAATTGGCCTTTTACAGAGAGCTCAGATGTGACCTTTAAGAAAAAGTTGAAACTAAGTGAGTTTTGACAAAAAAAAAAACTTTTTCTCAATGTTTAAACTAGAAAAAGTACTTTTTGTTAAAACAAAAAGTGCTGTAAGTATTAATGGTTTATTATGGTTGACTAAATAATATTATTAGCAAAATGAAATCAAGGCCTCAAAGAGAAATTAATTTTAAATATTTGGTTTCATAAATTTTTTTCAAAACAATATTTTGAAACAAATTTAGTTCAATAACAAAGAAATTTTGTGGGAAAACCAGTTTTTTTCTGTTCGATATCAAAACAACCTATTAAATCTACATATTTAAACGTCCTTAACATTTAACTTAATTAAATTTTCTAATATTATGAAGCTTACCTATAGCCAAGGCAAATATGCATAACTTGATAAACGCCATTTTTTTTTTAAGGGGAATTTGTTTTTTGTTTAAATTTAAAAACTGAAATTATATATGGAATTAAAAATTTTATAATTTTTTGAAATTTTCTAGTAATTAACAATTAATAACTTTTTTTAAATTATTATTTCTTATTTTTTTAACATAAAATTATTTTTAAATTTTCTGGTTTTGTTTTTTCTTTTCAATATAAGTAATCCACACCTTGTTTTAGGTTTTTGTAAAGAAACCTATTTTTTAATTTTTTTATTTAAATCTTTTTCACTTTTATATTAAAAAAATCAACCACAAGTTACGACGATTTGCTCTCTTTGCGTTCACTCAAAAGACTAGAAGTCATTGAAGGTTGTTTCCAAGTTAAATAATGTTAAATCAAATAAAAAAATATATCTATAAAATAAAAGAAAAAAAAAACAAAGTTTTACTTTAAGTCTTGAAATGACAAAAACAACCTCAAGTCTTAAGCTTCAGTAGCAGCAGAGACCCCTGCATATGAAAACAACTAAATACTGGTTAATTTTAACGCTGGTGGATGGATGGATCGATCCATCGATCGTTCGTTGTTTGGTTTGCTTATAGCTGCCGCTGTAGTTCATGTTGGAAATGTCGGCTGTTATGTTGTTGGTGTATTGGTGTTAATGTTACCCGTTTTTAAATCACGTTTTTTTTTTTTTGTTTAATAAATATTTATATTTTGCTTTTTTTCAAAACTTCACTTCAATGGTCTTTTACTGCGAAATGCAATTGTTATTGTCTATATTTAAAAAGCAGCCACTGAAAAGAGTGTAATCATTTAACCACATAGCAATATTTGTTATTTAAAAAATGGTTTAAAAATTCTAAAATTTGAAATAAATTGAATTTTTTTATTAATCTTTAACAAATCTCATTAAACAACTTCGCTTCACTCACGTTTACATTCTTTTAAAGGTGTGTTATCAGTTTATTTTATTATTTAAATTTTTGTTGTTTTGTTTGTTACTAATCTTACTGCATTGTTTTTGTTATAAAAATATTATATGTGTGTTAGTTTTGTTGCATTAAACAAAAAATGTTACACCAGGCATGGGAAGTTGAAACGTTCAAATGGTACTAAACATTACCGAAAAATTTAGTTTTTTATTATTATTCCGTAAACTAGACTATAGACTATACTTTAGACTAGACTATAGAATAGACTATAGAGTAGTCTATAGAGTAGTCCTATAGACTAGACTATAGACTAGACTAGACTAGACTATAGACTAGACTATAGACTAGACTAGACTATAGACTAGACTATAGACTAGACTATAGACTAGACTATAGACTAGACTATAGACTAGACTATAGACTAGACTATAGACTAGACTATAGACTAGACTATAGACTAGACTATAGACTAGACTATAGACTAGACTATAGACTAGACTATAGACTAGACTATAGACTAGACTAGACTAGACTATAGACTAGACTATAGACTAGACTATAGACTAGACTATAGACTAGACTATAGACTAGACTATAGACTAGACTATAGACTAGACTATAGACTAGACTATAGACTAGACTATAGACTAGACTATAGACTAGACTATAGACTAGACTATAGACTAGACTATAGACTAGACTATAGACTAGACTATAGACTAGACTATAGACTAGACTATAGACTAGACTATAGACTAGACTATAGACTAGACTATAGACTAGACTATAGACTAGACTATAGACTAGACTATAGACTAGACTATAGACTAGACTATAGACTAGACTATAGACTAGACTATAGACTAGACTATAGACTAGACTATAGACTAGACTATAGACTAGACTATAGACTAGACTATAGACTAGACTATAGACTAGACTATAGACTAGACTATAGACTAGACTATAGACTAGACTATAGACTAGACTATAGACTAGACTATAGACTAGACTATAGACTAGACTATAGACTAGACTATAGACTAGACTATAGACTAGACTATAGACTAGACTATAGACTAGACTATAGACTAGACTATAGACTAGACTATAGACTAGACTAGACTAGACTAGAGACTAGACTATAGACTAGACTATAGACTAGACTATAGACTAGACTATAGACTAGACTATAGACTAGACTATAGACTAGACTATAGACTAGACTATAGACTAGACTATAGACTAGACTATAGACTAGACTATAGACTAGACTATAGACTAGACTATAGACTAGACTATAGACTAGACTATAGACTAGACTATAGACTAGACTAGACTAGACTATAGACTAGACTATAGACTAGACTATAGACTAGACTATAGACTAGACTATAGACTAGACTATAGACTAGACTATAGACTAGACTATAGACTAGACTATAGACTAGACTATAGACTAGACTATAGACTAGACTATAGACTATACTTTAGACTAGACTATAGACTAGACTATAGACTATACTTTAGACTAGACTATAGACTAGACTATAGACTAGACTATAGACTAGACTATAGACTAGACTATAGAATAGACTATAGAGTAGTCTATAGAGTAGTCTATAGACTAGACTATAGACTAGACTATAGACTAGACTATAGACTAGACTATAGACTAGACTAGACTATAGACTAGACTATAGACTAGACTATAGACTAGACTATAGACTAGACTATAGACTAGACTATAGACTAGACTATAGACTAGACTATAGACTAGACTATAGACTAGACTATAGACTAGACTATAGACTAGACTATAGACTAGACTATAGACTAGACTATAGACTAGACTATAGACTAGACTATAGACTAGACTATAGACTAGACTATAGACTAGACTATAGACTAGACTATAGACTAGACTATAGACTAGACTATAGACTATAGACTAGACTAGACTAGACTATAGACTAGACTATAGACTAGACTATAGACTAGACTATAGACTAGACTATAGACTAGACTATAGACTAGACTATAGACTAGACTATAGACTAGACTATAGACTAGACTATAGACTAGACTATAGACTAGACTATAGACTAGACTATAGACTAGACTATAGACTAGACTATAGACTAGACTATAGACTAGACTATAGACTAGACTATAGACTAGACTATAGACTAGACTATAGACTAGACTATAGACTAGACTATAGACTAGACTATAGACTAGACTATAGACGACTATAGACTAGACTATAGACTAGACTATAGACTAGACTATAGACTAGACTATAGACTAGACTATAGACTAGACTATAGACTAGACTATAGACTAGACTATAGACTAGACTATAGACTAGACTATAGACTAGACTATAGACTAGACTATAGATAGACTATAGACTAGACTATAGACTAGACTATAGACTAGACTATAGACTAGACTATAGACTAGACTATAGACTAGACTATAGACTAGACTATAGACTAGACTATAGACTAGACTATAGACTAGACTATAGACTAGACTATAGACTAGACTATAGACTAGACTATAGACTAGACTATAGACTAGACTATAGACTAGACTATAGACTAGACTATAGACTAGACTATAGACTAGACTATAGACTAGACTATAGACTAGACTATAGACTAGACTATAGACTAGACTATAGACTAGACTATAGACTAGACTATAGACTAGACTATAGACTAGACTATAGACTAGACTATAGACTAGACTATAGACTAGACTATAGACTAGACTATAGACTAGACTATAGACTAGACTATAGACTAGACTATAGACTAGACTATAGACTATACTTTAGACTAGACTATAGACTAGACTATAGACTATACTTTAGACTAGACTATAGACTAGACTATAGACTAGACTATAGACTAGACTATAGACTAGACTATAGACTAGACTATAGACTAGACTATAGACTAGACTATAGACTAGACTATAGACTAGACTATAAGACTTACTTAGACTAACTAGAGAACTAGACTATAGACTAACTATAGACTAGACTTATAGACTAGACTATAGACTAGACTATAGACTAACTATAGACTAGACTATAGACTAGACTATAGACTAGACTATAGACTAGACTATAGACTACATAGACTAGACTAATAGACTAGACTATAGACTAGACTATAGACTAGACTATAGACTAGACTATAGACTATAGACTAGACTATAGACTAGACTAGAGACTAGACTATAGACTAGACTATAGACTAGACTATAGACTACTAGACTAGACTATAGACTAGACTAATAGACTAGACTATAGACTAGACTATAGACTAGAATTAGACTAGACTATAGACATAGACTATAGACTAGACTATAGACGAGACTATAGACTAGACTATAGACTAGACTCTAGACTAGACTATAGACTAGACTATAGACTAGACTATAGACTAGACTATAGACTAGACTATAGACTAGACTATGTAAACCAAACTATGGGCTAGACTACATACTTAGTCATAAACTACACTATATACCATACTATAGACTAGACTATTCTATAGACTAGACTATATACTAGACTATATACTAGACTATAGACTAGACTATAGACTAGACTATAGACTAGACTATAGACTAGACTATAGACTAGATTATAGACTAGACTATAGACTAGACTATAGACTAGACTATAGACTAGACTATAGACTAGACTATAGACTAGACTATAGACTAGACTATAGACTAGACTATAGACTAGACTATAGACTAGACTATAGACTAGACTATAGACTAGACTATAGACTAGACTATAGACTAGACTATAGACTAGACTATAGACTAGACTATAGACTAGACTATAGACTAGACTATAGACTAGACTATAGACTAGACTATAGACTAGACTATAGACTAGACTATAGACTAGACTATAGACTAGACTATAGACTAGACTATAGACTAGACTATAGACTAGACTATAGACTAGACTATAGACTAGACTATAGACTAGACTATAGACTAGACTATAGACTAGACTATAGACTAGACTATAGACTAGACTATAGACTAGACTATAGACTAGACTATAGACTAGACTATAGACTAGACTATAGACTAGACTATAGACTAGACTATAGACTAGACTATAGACTAGACTATAGACTAGACTATAGACTAGACTATAGACGACTATAGACTAGACTATAGACTAGACTATAGACTAGACTATAGACTAGACTATAGACTAGACTATAGACTAGACTATAGACTAGACTATAGACTAGACTATAGACTAGACTATACTAGACTATAGACTAGACTATAGACTAGACTATAGACTAGACTATAGACTAGACTATAGACTAGACTATAGACTAGACTATAGACTAGACTATAGACTAGACTATAGACTAGACTATAGACTAGACT